GTGCGCGCGACATCTGTCGGCGAGTGTCCCAAGTCTGCGGCGGAAACTTAAATCAATACTCGCCGACAGATGTCGCGCGCACGCAGTGTTACCGCGCGGCGAATTGTAGGCAACCGTTGCTTGACGAACAGTTTCAGCGTTTTGCCGCTGCACGAAAATGGCGCTGTTAGGCTGTTTGAAAGCAGCAGAAAATTCGTGCCGAATGTTCCATTGCTTCTTACGAGAGAAGCGGCACGAATCATTTGCTGCGATATCGAACGATTGAACATAAAACTGAAAATTGCTTATCACTAATTAATTACAATTCGCATGCGCATAAAATTGTTATCGATGCGTTGCTAGTGGTCTATTCTAGAGTTTTCAGTGGTAAAAGCGCACACATTGTGTTTCCGGAGTCACAAAATGAATGACCTTTGTAGGGGTGTTTTAGTTCGAGTGCCACTGATAGATAGTGTTTCCATGTCCGTAAATGGGCTATTTCGAAAAGAAGAGATTTCAGTAGTATAAGTCAATAATTAGCCAGACAATGAATTTTGCGATATACCTCCTTTCATGTACTCCTGATACAATTAGCAAGTAGTTTAAGTCAGTGTAATGTATGACTTTATCGCTGGCATGAAGGGGAAAGGAATGCATAGGAATAGCGATAAGAGGTATAGGAAAATTTATAAATGAAAAGACGTTTGGATTGGGTTTTATAGTACTTTTATTTTCACACATTACAGCAGTTCTTATTCTATTTTGCAATCACTTTATAATAATGAAAGGGATATTCGATATGGCTCGCTTTCTTACGAAACAATACNTTTAAGTCAGTGTAATGTATGACTTTATCGCTGGCATGAAGGGGAAAGGAATGCATAGGAATAGCGATAAGAGGTATAGGAAAATTTATAAATGAAAAGACGTTTGGATTGGGTTTTATAGTACTTTTATTTTCACACATTACAGCAGTTCTTATTCTATTTTGCAATCACTTTATAATAATGAAAGGGATATTCGATATGGCTCGCTTTCTTACGAAACAATACGCGAGGAAGACCACTGGAAGCACGGTAAATTGAGATGGTTTAGGCTTCCGTTCGTGGGAACACTGTAATTGTGGTTATGATCAGCGGAGCTCAAGTTCGTTCTGATTTTCTTGATCATCTCCCGTTTTCTTTCCAAAGCAATTGCGCGAAGGTGGATGCGCAGTAGAATGGTGGGGATAGAAAGGTTCCTGAAATGTGAGAAGAAAAAGCTCTTTTGAAGTGTAATACTATAGAGTGTACTACACATACCATGTGCATGTATACATAGTCGAAGGAACGCACGTGGTTCAAGCATAATATAGGTTATTTAAATGTTTATATTTGAATCACGTTTTAAGGCAATACAGAGTTTTTAATCGAATCTTCTGTGCCTAAACACACGATAAATGTATTAAAAGTGCTCGTAATTAGAGTTTCAAGTTATTTATAAAGTATATGTATAATTTTATATATAGTAAATTTTTCGATAACCATGAAACTTAATTCGGAAAACAACGAAATGGATAACAATCAAATTAATATCAAGAAAAGAAGAAAACGAAAAGCTATAGCAGAAGATGAAGGTAATTTTAATTCATATAAGAGGTTTTATAAGTTTTTAAAACTTTTTACTGGATAATTTACATTTGTTATATGTAAAATATAGTTATTAAAATATTATTTAGTTCTTTATACTATTTGAGAAGTATTAAATAAGACATTTATTATTTAGGAACCAGTAATGTGGAAGAACTGAATAAAAGTAGCGATGTAAATATGTTAGAAAAAAACTCACCCTCGAAAGAATATGGAGTCGTTAAAAAGCGTAGAAGGAAATGTGAGCCAGATGCGCTTGAAATGTCTAGAACATCTGAACAAAAGGCCAAAATTAAGGACTTGAAATCGATACAAAGTATTATACTTACTTTATTACATAGGGTGGATAGGATGGTTGAAAAAAGTTTTGGAATATCAAGGATAGATAATACTTGTCTGATAGCAGAAAGAGATAGACATGTAGAAAATTGTCTATAATTATGAATAAAAAAGCTGTTAAGGTAATCTGTTATTTTTATGTAATATCTAGCATTTTATGTAAACCAAGTGTTGACCAAACTGAACATTGTTTATAATTTTGACTATTTTTTATCACTTTGTTAACACTTATTTATCAAGGCTTCTGCTTCCTCCATTTGGCAAGTATTATTCCTCCTTAACGTTCTAGACCTTCTTTCATTATCATTCTGAAAAATAGATAAAATGATTATTATAAACATAGTAACAAAATATTTTCTAGGTACAAAACGTATTGACAATGATGAAGAAAATGTAGAAGATAATAAAGACATTAATAATCCAGTAGATGGGAAATCCATGCGGGCTTCTTTTAATTCTATCAATGGTTTAGAGTGTTTACGACAGTTTGTCAAGTCTCATAATGAGAACAAAGAAAGAGATATGGCTGCAGAATATTTAAATGCAGGTGGCAATATTCTTGAATTGTTAAGATTATTAGATAACACAGATAAGAAAAGTATTGGTTCTTCCACTGTTGTTTTTTCTGCAACAAGAATAATATTGTTAAAGTATGTATACTTAAGTATTATATAAATGTTTATATTATAGTATAAATATGTATTAATTTCTGTATGCATTCTCAGAATTATGGCAGAGTATCCACAATATCAATCCAGTGCAGAAGGAGCATGTAGGCACTTAATTAACTCGCACCTACCATTAGTGCATTCTATGCTTTCTATTCAAAGTAATGCAAAACAACGAAAAATTATCCTGCAATTGTTAGCTGCAGTAGTTTCATTAGGTCGTAGTCTGCCACGGGAATTGATTGCTCATCTTTCTTTAGAACCAGAACTTATTAAATCTCTTGCAAGGCACACAAAGCCCACAGATAGTCAGAATATAAGAAATTGTTTCATCCATTTCATTCTTGCTTTCTTGATAGAAGGAAATGTATCGTCCATTAGAGCTCTATTGAATAAACATGGTCTATTTTCTAGTATATTTCCTGATTTGATATATGATTCCAAAGATATTGTTGCTTTGATAGTAACCACATTGAAGATTCATATTCTTCAAAATTCGAAAATTAGTAAGACTATGAAATTACATATATTCACAACATCGGTCATTCAAAACCTTGTGTATCTCTATAATTGGAAAGGTCCAAATAATTGGCCAGGAAATAAAACACAAAATTCTTTTACCGAAAATCCAGAATATCTTGAAGATAAAAAGGTATTTACATTTGTTAATACCATGTTTTAATTAAACGTCTTCTATTAAAAATGTTTTTCTATTATGTAAATTATAAAATGTTTTACTTTCAGATTATAAATGAAATAGTACATGACTTTTTAACTGTATTATTAACATCTCATCGATATGGAATTATATTCCATGATCATACACTTGGTACATCACGTACTAAACATAATCAGTTAGTGAATATAATACTTCAAAGTTTGGACCGTCCTTGGGAACATGAGAAACCATCGGATTTGGTAATCCGAATAGTGACTGCATGTCCAGATTTAATTAAATCACAGTTTACACTGTTAGAACAACATCTTGAAGCAAGACTATCAACGAAATGGATTGCAGTAATGAAATTTGTGAGGGAGGTAATGATAATAAATATGTAAAATTTATATGATATTGAAACTTGTAATTCAATGTGTGTTTCAAGATATTCACTTTACTTTTCGTTACAGATAATAGTATCGTTAGATCCAGAGGTTTGCTTTAGAATATGTTCAGTGGAATTAAATGTATCTCAGTTAGCTTCTGCAGTAATGTCGTTACTTCTATCAGGGACAGTATTAAAACATGCAATTTTACCATCTTTAATGCATTCAAGTATAGTAGTCAGACATGAAGCAGTACTTACACTTATAACAATGTTTAATCAAATACAAAAGTTTTTGTTAGCTGCAAAAGTAAATTACAACGAATATACTGATTTTTATACTTTTAAAAACTCTATGTTAGAATATATCCTGAAGGTATGTCTTTATTACTTGAATAGATAACATAATGTATAAAAACAAAATAACTACAAATTTACTACAACAAAATAAATCTTTTTACATTTCAGAATGCACCCAATATAAATACAATATTGGATGTGTGGAGTTACGTATTTGTACCAAATGAAATTGAACATGACAGTACAAACAAAGAATGCATTCCAGAACCAAAGAAAGATGAACATTTGTTAGCCATTTTAAACTTATTACACCTGTACAATGAAATATGTCCGAAATTATTGCATGCATTGTTACATATACCGGCCACTACATTTTTAAGTCCATTAAATACATTACAAGATGTTGATATTCTTCAGCTTAACACTATACAAGTGAAAGCTATACAGTTTTTAATCATTCTGAATCCTGCTGAATTTTTACCGCAAAAAGTGAGGAAAACCTTGAATTTTTTTAATTAATTTTTATTTGATCTATATTCTGTCTTTTCTTATTTAAAATCTTTTGTCCATTTAGAAAGTATTTACCGACGCATTAACATTTCTACTGTCTCTTTTGAATAATGAAGACACCTTCGATGTATCAAGTATAAAATCAACGATAAAGATGTTACTGAACGTTACCGGTATGTTTGAAGGATGCAGTGATCATTTAGATATTTGGATCAATGGTTTCATAAATCTAGATAAAAAGCAGGAAGTAGTTGATTGGTTTGTTCGTCTTTTAAAAAAGGTTGCAAAAAATATGGAGAGATATGTAGATGAAATTATAAAAACAGACGAAACTATTAGCGAAGGAGTCATTTATGCTGGACGGTTAGAAGATATATTTAATGGTAAGACTTATTTAAATAGTAGATATAATTTATACCTCATTTGTATATATTATAATATATGTCTATTTTTCAGAATTGATGGATAAAAATACTACTCATAAAAGTTCAGAAAATAATATTTTACATATGCAACGCTTTACGTCGATATCGCCTTTGCTGTGTTGCATGTTACATAAAATGGAGAAAAATGTAGATCCTGCAATATTATCGTATGCTTCTTATGTATTAATTCATACATTACACTATCAAGCTTTGCCACAGAGCATAATACATTTGACAAGAAATATACAGGATTTACCAGTTCAGAAATATTTACAAAGCTGGTCAGAGGGCAATGACCCTATTTATATTGAAGAAGTAATTCCGTCTATGGATTTATTATGTAAATTGAATCGATTATTGTTAGATAATACTAACATACAGATAAACGAAGTATTTAGCGGTGACAATACAGTGACTTTTACGTATAATAATGAAGTTATTAAAATTCAACATTCTTTATCAGCATACGAAATCATGTGCCTATTCAAGATGACCGTATTTTATTTAACACAATTTGCTAAACGAGGACTTTTATCAACGATTCAAATCAGTAAATATAAAATTCTTTTAATATCTCTATTACATCTTGCGAAAGAAAATCGGGACGATTCTACACTAGTGGAGGAATGTGCAAAATCTGTTTTTGCTCATCCAATAATATTGTATTATTTTTCACCACTTTATCAGAAGAGCAAAGACCTCACAACGAATATGATATATAATATAACTCTAATAATACATGATATTTGTAAAGAAATGGTCCACTTCTACGAAAAGTGTAACGTCAGAACACTAGTTTCTCAGTTTAGAAATAAATTACTTACGCAATTACACAAAATGATAGATAATCATAAAGGCGACGATAATATAAATAATGTTGAAACAATTACAACATTGCTGGTTTTATTGGAATTAACGCCGCAAGATATTGTACATATATTGAGAAAGCTTGTGAAATTAGAAAATTCTATATTTATTTCAAAAGATGGCGTAAATTTGTCAAAATATGGATACATAACTGCAAAACTTTTAGAGATTATTAGCATTAAAAATATTAAATCCCAGCGTAATTCGTTGCTTCAATTAGACGTGGAATTTGTGAAATGTTTATGTTCACATCTCCTTATTTTGAAGTCCAAAGAAATTATTAATATTGAAATGTGGGAA